TTATATATATATATATATTATCATTAGTGCCCTTAAAATTTTAAGATAATTTTGAATTTCTCACCTGAACTTTAAAAACTTTTAATTTGTCCTTGGACTTTACATTGTTCTCAATTAACTACTTCTATTTGCAATTTTTTTTTTTAAATCAGATGGAAAAAAAAAAGAGGAATGTTGTCACATAGTTCTCATATGTTTATTTCAAATAAAAAATCATACGAAAATACCACGTGATTACATTACTTACTTTTTTCTATTAGTTTTTAACAGAAATCACAACAAAAGAGATTAGGTAGGAACAATTTAAACTTCAGGGGCAAAGTGAGAGTTTTTAAAGTTCAGAGGGCAAACTGAGAATGGTTCAGAGGGCACCAGTGATAATAATCCAAAAGAAAAAATAAAAACGGAGTTTTTCTAGTAAGACCAGAAAAAATGAAACTACCAGTAATTTTTTACTTTTAACCGTTAGATCTGGATCAAAAGTATTTTGTTTTAAATATTTTTTTAATCTAATACAGTTTTGACTAGATCTAACACTTAAAAATTGACTGTACTGGCAGAAAAATCCAACTAGACAAAGTCCCAAACATAAAATAAAAAACAGTAAAAAGAAATAAAACAAAAGTCTGCAGTCTGATTAAACCAACATAATAGTAGAACTAAAAACCACATATAGTCCACTCAATTACTAATTTTCGTAAAGTAACGACTGTTTATGACTTACCTCGAATCGCGTCTTCTCTGGCTTGGAGGAGCATTGGCAGGGTCACAACTTGTACTTCTCCTTTATCATTTCTTTGACCAAAATAGACTCGCGGCACATGAGAAACGGTTCTAAAATCTTGTGACGTCATGAATTCTGGTGACATTAAGTCAAATCCAAGGGTTTTAAGGTTCTTCAGATGCTCTAATCCGGATGGCAACTCTTTCATTTGAGGGCATGGCCCAAGATATAGGTCTCCGAGCACAGGCAATGCAGTTTCCTCGATTATCAATAAACACAGTCTAATCAAGCGAAAGAGATTGAGTTTCTTTAGTTTTGGCAACACTCCTTTCCTGAAGTGAATTTGCTTGCCAACATATGCATCAAAACAGATCTCAAGATGCAAAAGATTGTGCATATTCTCAACGGCTTGTAGCAGGCGATCATCTTCCCACTTGGAATAAATAAGCCGTAACTTGACTAGACTAGTTTGAAGTTGTGCGAACCATTGTGGTAACTTGTTTAGACGCCGGGGTGATGACATGAATTCTAAATCAACAACCTCATTTTCACCTGCTGAGGCTACATTTAGAGATTCAAGTAGTTTCATCTTCTCAACAGAGCTGCACAGGCTCCTACAGTCTTCACTTCTCACATCAAATATTCCCAATGTCCTCAATTGTGTCAAGTTACCTAATTCTTTGAACAGATCTTTATCTCCTTCCCGGTCGATCTCGATAAACAGCAACTTTTGCAAGGCCTTTAAGAACCCAATTCCATCCACCACTTTTACTCCGCGTCTGCCCAACATAAAGATATTTTTGTTCTCGTGATCAATATTCAAAGCATAAATATTTCTCAACTTACAAAGCTTTTTCATCGTGTCAGCAGCCGGTAGCTCATACACTAATGATTTCCTTAGATCCAGTGTTTCCAAGTTTTCTAACTTCTTTAGGGACTTTGGAAGCCTCTTGACTTTTGTTCCCCGCACACTCAAGTATCTCAAGTCAAATAAGTTTCCAATATCATCAGGGAGGTGATCGAGACATGGCGCGTCTTCAAAATCAAGTACTTTCAAGAACTTGAAATTTGTCTCAAATACGGGCATGCGATTGTTGAGTGTCTCGTCTGTGCAGAAAACAGTAACAGAATGTACATGAGGAAATTTAATTTCTTGCAAATCATCATTTGAGCTATTGATCATGATTGATAGACGTCGAGTGATTCCTCTAATTTTTGACTCGGTGCTTTCTGGAAAAACTCCACAAAAACGCACTTCCTTCGTCTTCTTAAGAATGATCACATGCAAAAGATCATGAACACAACATTTTTTAGGTTTTCCAGTCATATCGAGCTCTGGTGCTTCAACCAAACATCTATTTATTAGCTCACTCAGATATTCTTGTGCAACGTCTTCTAAAGTCTTACCCTCCTCTGCTTTGACAAAGCCCTCAGCTATCCACTCTCGAATTAGCCTTCCGTTTCTTATCGAATGGTGCCGTGGAAACATCCCAAAGTACAAAAAGCAGGATTTAAGGTAGTAGGGCAGCTCATTATAACTGAGGGACAAGATGTTTAATATGCTTGTTAGATGCACATTATGTTCCAACTCAAAAGTGAGGCTGTCATGGATTCTTCTCCACTCATGGACGGTCTTGTTTTTTCTTGACAGAAGACCTGCAATAACTACAATTGCAAGAGGCAGACCTCTGCATTTTTCAACAATTTCACCAGAAATCTTCTCTAATTCCTTAGGACAGTAACCATCTGGTTTGAAGGTTCTCATACAAAAGAGTTCCCAAGACTTTTCTGTCGGCAAATGCTGCATCTTGTGGACATGGACATAAGGCAAACATCCGCAAAACTCTGCCACTTGCAATTTTCGCGTCGTGATCATTACTCTTCCACTAACTTTATTATCAATTAAGGCATGTTCAACATCGCCCCAAAAGTCTTCTTTCCAAACATCATCAAAGATCACAAGATACTTCTTGTCTTTCAAATACACCCTTATGATATTTGTGAGTTTTCCCTCATCCATTGAATGAATTTCAGTTGGAACAGAGGCTTTAGTCGACTCAAAAAGCCCCATTATCAATGTCCTCAGTATCTCCTCTCTTCTGTATGGTTCAGGCACTTGAACCCATGCATGACATTGAAACCCTCCTTGCACATGATTATAAACTTGTTGCGCAAGAGTTGTCTTCCCCAATCCTCCCATGCCGACCACTGGGATGACTATGCGTTGGGATGATTCATCTAGCAAAACACCAACCAATTCGTCTCTAGCAGATTCAATAACCACAAGATCAGCTTCTTGAAGATATCGAGAAGCTCTTCGAGGGTCATACGAAGTAACAACATTTTGACTATCAGTACTTGTAGACCCTGGTTGTGGAATGGAATTTACAAAGCCATACGCTTTGCCTCGGTCATGGATTTTGATGAGCCTCTTCTTGATGTTTTCTATCTGCCAGGCCAAGTCATGGCGTTGTTTTAGCCTTGAGCAACAGAGAGGTAAAAAACAAGAAATTTCTCGCAGCCATTCAACAAAACCCCATTGATCACGGCCACGACATGGTTGTTGTGCCATGTGATGTGTGTACTCGGTGACAACATCTTCTACTTCAAATGAGACTTCCCGCAGTTCTTGCACCCATGATTTAGCACCATCCCTGACTTCGTCTCCTTCGGTTTCTGCCCTTTTATCAGCATCCTTTATGAAATACAATATGCTTCCCAACTCACGCGCAATTTCTTCAACTTCTTCAGCAACACCTTGCAACAAGCTCACTTCTTTGGTAAAAAACGAGAGCAGCTTGTCCTTAACAATCTCTACTACGATCTCCGCCATGCTCGCTTACTTCATTCGGTAATAAGTATCAAGTTGTCTTTCATAGCGCTCTGCATAAACGTTGATATAGCCTTTCTTTTAACTACGTATATTATTCAGCAATTATGCAAATTTAAACGAACTTTGTTGAACAAAGGAAATAGTAGGAAAAACTGATATTATTGACTTTAGCATATCCTAATATTGTTGACACCCACTAAAGCTCCCTTCTCAAGTTAGACCACTCTAAATGCAAGTCCCCAAAGAAATTAAAGTGTTTTCTTATATTCATTGTTATTCATTTATGGAATGACAATTTTATAACCAGTAGAAAGTATACTTTAAATCTCCTGACAAAAATAGTTATAAAATTCAATGTTTAATAAGAGATTAATAAGTTACTCTTGAAAAGATAGTCAAGGTCGAATAAAGTTGACTAAGTTGACCAATTGTCTTATAAACGCAGATAAACATGCACCAGACAGAAAATTAAACGGAATCGAAATAAGATAATCACTAAAACAATGAATGGTTGAGATTAAAAGTGATTAGTGGATGGAGGGATGAGATTAGGACACATAGAATGGAGAAGGGCCGGCCAACTTAAGGAAGAAGAAAAGAAAAAGATAAAAAGACCCTAGAAAAGTCAAAATGTACACTTCGGTCCCCCCTACTTTTTGTGGTCGGTTTTATGAGGTAAAAATATAACCAAATGCTCATTTTTCATGCCAAGAAACCAGGGAGCATCAGCCAAAGAGAGGAGAAGAAAAAAATTCACCCAAAGTGAGAAAAAATGAGTTCTAAGCGAAAACTGACGAAAACTACCGTTGATTAGCGTCACTGGGATTGTCTCCTCATCTTTCAAAGGTAAAATTTCAATTTTTCTCCTAATTTCACACCCTTGGCTGTACGTCAATGAAAAGTAGTGAACCATAGAAAGATTTTGCTAGTAATGGTTATTGGCTTATGGTTATGAATGGGACCGGAAAACCGAATGTTTAGAGGTTACATTTGTGATTATTAGATTATGTTTTGGCATTTTTGTTTAGGATGAATTCTTGTAAGAATAGTAGAGAAATCCTAGAGATTATATGTTATTGACGATAAAAAGAGATGAGAAAGATTGTAGTTTGTGTTTAAAGGTTGAAACAATGGATAAAACGAGCTATGGGAAACACGGAAAATTAGGCAGAACTCCGCCGAAATTTAATTTGGAAATTTGAACCAAACCTGGTTGTAATGAAGAATAGGGGAATTAAGATGTGTTAAATAAGTTGATTTGTTGATTCGAAATGCATAGAAATCTAAAACAATGAAAATTCACTGTTTTGGACCAAAACCAAAAACTAGGTTATTGTCTGGAAATCGGAATCCGGTGTTGTTTTGGGCCAGAAAACCAAGATAAAAGCTTAGCTTCAAAAAGTGTCTAACATCAAGTTAAAGGAAATTTTATTCTGAACAACTTTTGTGAAATAACATTTTTCTCAAATATGACTTTAGGTGCTAGTTTCGGGCTAATTTCTGAAATAGGTCCAAGATGGAGATTATAGGTCAAATATGCATGGGTATGGAGCATAATGTTGAGATAGGAGATATTTCGGTCCGGATACCGAACATAAGAATTGTAGCCCTTTTCGAATTAAATTCTATTGCAATTATTGATCTTAGATTGTAAATCTAACTATCGGAAATTTAAATAATAGGATTGGTAGACAATCAAAGTCGAAAAGCTTCAGGAGACTCAAAGGTCACAACGTTAGTGGAACTTCTGTAAGTTTTAGTAGTTTTCTTGTCTATGACACAAATGAACTTATTCCTCTGTGTTGCACAGAATTGTCCATATTGTAGATTCAAGATATGCTAGAATGTGAATTGTGTTTCTTGAATGTTATATATGATGTTATGAATGCACTTACAGACTTTAAGTAGTAGCAGAATTTTACTCTGCGAAAATTCTGAGTCAAAGTCAAAGATGAGGTCAAAGTCAATCAAAAAGTCAAACTTTACAAAAAGGTCAATTTCATAGAAAATTGATAGAAATGCGTAAAAATGCAAAAACAAATGCTAAAATTACTGTCATAATAAGAAAGGATGGAGTAAGATGATGTACAAAGAAAAGATGATAAAAGAAAAGTAGAAACTAAAACTGTTTGTATCGGCCTCCACAGAGAGAGGTAACTATGCAACAGCCTCCACAGAGAGAGGTACTAGCCTCCACGGAGAGAGGTAACTACACGACCATGAGTGAGTTGGTTTTGATTAGCTACCCCACTCCTCACTGGTTATGCGTGCTACGGTACAACAGGATGTGCCCATATGAAGTAAAAGACATGAAATTGTAATACGGCAACCGTTCGACATGAGAGTACGGAAGTCATAAAGAAATAAAAATTATGAAATTATAATACGGCCACCGTTCCACATGAGAGTACGGAAGTCGTAAAGAAGTATGAGACGAAAGAAAAAGAAAACATAATACGAAAGTCGTTCGGAATGTTAGAATATAATATGAACGACTCAAAAAGGAAAGTTGAATAAAGTTTGAAATAAAAGATGAAAAACATAAAACGATAAAGGTTTTAGATGTATAGAGTACATTAGAATACATGACATGGATGCATATATAGGTATGCATTATTATTTGCATTTATTATGGCCTACAGTTAGTTGTTGAGCGAAAGTTCATTACGTTTGTTTGTGTTGTAGAAAGCTTGGGTAAGGCACCGGCTCCCTAAAACTTGTTGCTGGGCGTGCAGAGAGGATGTAGCGATAGAGTGTGGGTAAGTGGGTGATGAACGCACTGTGATACTAAAGATGCCGCGATATGTGTATAAAATAAATTGTAATTATGAATGTAAAATTTTGTAAGTTATATAATGAATGAAAGTTTATGAGACTACAAGGTTATGCTTAATAACCTTAAGTTACAAGGTATGTTGAAGTACCTTAAAGGCTACTATGACAATGGCCTGTGAATGATGAAGGTATGTGAAGAAAAGATTGATTCTAGGAACTGATTTTGAAGTATTACTTCAACAAAGTATATATATTGTTTAAAAGAAAAGAAAAAAAATGAGCATAAATGTTAGGAATTTATAGTTTAAAAGATAAAAATTAATAAATGAGTTACGTATAACGTAGTAATAATGACAAAAAGTAAAAATCTTCACACTTGTTGTTTTAAAAAGTTATACTTGGTTCGAAAAATTTCAGAATTTACAAAAAAAAAAAAAAAAAAAATGTTGAAATTGGATTCTTCTAATTTTTCGCGTGACCTATAACCGGACTCTTTGAGAGGTCTATGATTAGGACTAGCTGCATGACGTTTTTTTCAATTTTTTTTTTTTTTTCATTTGAAAACTTACTCGGCCAAGATAATTTCTTTAAAATTATTAATTAGTAAAAAATTCACAAAATGATAAATTTGTGACAGTAGAGTTGAAACATAACAATGTTTTCAAAACATTCAAAATTTAATAATTTTGTATTTCTTTTATGACATAATGAGAAATGAAATATTGATTTTTTAATAAATTATATGTTTTTTGTTTTCCGTTATATTTATGAGCAAATATTATAGTGATCCTTTACCAACAATAAGTCTATTAATTATATATGAAGTATTCATATGCTGAAAATAATCTTTTTAAAGGATGTAACAGAAAAATGTTAGGATTGGTGCCCTTTAACAAATACATTTTATGTACCTATGTCATTTATCAAATAATACCAGTATTATTTAATATTTAATCGTCTAAGTTACTATCATAGGTTTTACTACAAAAGTTTAACAACGTATCAAAACACCAGAATCATTATTAATATCAACCTTAAATTATGCATATAAGGTGGCATATGCATAAAGATATTATTTTAAATAATAGTCTAAATTTAAGGAAATGTATTTTTTCAGAATAGATTCTGTTATTATTATCAATAAGAATAAGCGTTAGTTACAATAACAAATTTTATGAGTGTTGAAGTTTAATCCTCAACCAAATAATTAGCCATCATCTATATAAAGAGCATAAGTAGCAAAAAAAAAATAGGCAACTTTATGAACTTCTTTATTCACATGGCATAACTTAACTCTTGAAAAACAGATAATATCCTAAATATATCTGACAATTATACTCCAAACTTATTATAATAGGAAGAAAATTCTTCACAATTTGGATGATTACCAATGCATCAGACTCCAGAAACTGGAGATGTAGAGAAACATAGTCTGAGAATCCTTTAAGACGATGCAACCATCACAAAAACCCTGTATTCGTATTACCCTTTATTAATTGTAAACTTTTTCTAGTTTGGTGGTTTGGGTTTGATGCGTTCTAGTTCTTATGTATGGTATAATACAAGGAACAATAAAAGATGTTCGGGTTGAGCAGGATTAATCAACAAAAGAAATTCAAATATTTGTTTTCCGTTCTCAAAAAAAAAAAAAAAAAAATGTAAGATAGAAAAGTTCAAGCCAAAAAAAAAAAGTAAGTTGGAAATCAATGTTACAGATATTCTGGTTATATATATTTTGTTTTACTTTATTTCTATTTTTATTCATCTTTTTTTTTTCCAATAAACTGCACGAGGAAAATACTCATATCAAAGCTCCCCCCTAACGATCTCATCTTCTACAAAACTCCCCCCTTTAGAAATTTTATTAAAGAAAAGAAAATTACAAATTATATGAAAAAAAGAGTACAATTTTGATTTAGAAAAAAAAAAAAAAAAAAAAAAAAGAAGATATTAAATAAATAGGCCTGTTATAAAAGAAAAGGAAACCTTTCCTAAGTTCTGAAGACTTGATACCGATGAAAGCTTAGTACCCACTAGCAACCTTATCCTATACCTAACTCCTCACTTGGGGAATTTTATTTACGAAAAGAAATCAGAAATAAAAAGGAAGGAAAGTGGTTCACTTATCATTCATTAGAAACAAGAAAAAAAGATATTACTAAATAAGCCTACTAATTAAAATAAAAGAAAAGAAAAAAAGAGAGAAGGGATTTTGGATGATTGAA